TGAAATTAATTAAATATTATTTTATATATTGTACATACAATATATTGTACATAAAATATTAATGTAAATTATATAGTAAGTGAACCAAGAGAATGTCTTTATCTTTTATAAACACTAATATGACTTTCATAAATTCCGACCATACAGTTGTTTTGAGTCATCATCTATGATGAGTTACATCTACATGTAGTGGTAGAAGGTCTTTACTACCAGTTTAAAATTAATAATGTAACAAATAAGACCGACCATTACTTATGTTGCAAAAGCATAATTTAGCTTATTCCAGACTGCTGAATAGTGATATTCCACAAGCCTCAATTCTATTAATTGTACTGGTGTTTCTAAAATTATTTTTTAGGAACAGTTAGAAAGTGAGAGCATGAAGTTGAAGCAACTTGAGGACAAAAACAATCTAAAGGAAAGGAAGCTTCTATCTATTATTTCCAACCAAGAAGATAAAATAAGAACGCTGAAAAGCAAATTGAAAGAATTAAATGAAGCACAAAAGGGTGTACAGATGCCAACATATAAGAGGGAGGTAAGATAAGCAACCAAGTAAAGATAAAATGAAAAAAACAAACATTTGTAAATTATTACTTCTTTCAAGCATGTTTATACTAATTATTCTAACAAACTGATTTTAACTTTCAGCATTATGTAATTACTAGGAAATCATTAAAGTATATAAAGCACATAGGGAACACTGAAGTATTAAATACATATTGGTTGGTTTGTGTGTTATTTTGTTATGTCGTTAAAATTTTAATATTTGGGAAAACTCCAGATTAGCATTTCTGGTTTAGAATTTTCAGTTGGAAGTTTTCACCAAGATTGAGTTGATTTTTTTTCACTTTTATGCCACCTATTTGTGTTATACAATAGCATCCAGAGTGCTATTCTGTCCTTGTGGGATAGCTAGAGTGCAGTCATTGATGTGGATCTAACCATGTAAACATATTTGAGCTAGCTAACTTGAAGTGAACTTACGTAAGGGTAGGAGCACAGCAGCACATAACTTGTTGCTATTAGACTTCCCAAGCATTGCTTAACTTACTGTGGCAAGCATTTGTAACCCATGTTGCTAGGTATAAGGCAGCCCAAATGTGTCTACAGGAGCTGCAGTTGCACTTTAGTGCAAGTTAAGACAAACGTGTAGGCTATGGGTCTGTGGTTGTAAACAAAGTATCATTGTAATCAGCTGGTTTGGCAGACATATGATCAAGTTCTGTGTCTGGTTTGGAGCACATATGAACTACCTAGGCCATCTGGTAATCTAGATCTAGTGGCAGTGCAGCTTAATGACTGGTTATGATAAAAACTTTCCTTAATGCCTGGCAGATTTAAAACTGTGTAATACTAGAGTGAACCACAAGGTGGTAGTCAAAGTTAATAACTTACTTAAAAACCTGCTAGAACTCTTGACATACTAGCTTGTGATGTGTTCATTGAAAATTTCAGTGAATAAATTGATTTTTAAGAGCTAAAATAGCTGGATACCTCAATAACAAGCTCATACACAATACATAATCTTACCTTATACATGATTGAAACAGAATTACAGTCAAGCAATGTTCTTAGAACCAGTTTCCTTTCAAGAGAGTATAAGCAGAAGAATGCTACACTGAGTTGCGAAGTTAAACTAAAAATAGGAATTCACACAAACAGCAAAAAACTGCTTTTGTCATCTTGTGAATGTTTTGAGAGCTTCCAGAAGGACTAGGGGAAGGATCCCATAACATTTTTATTCATATCAAGGTGAAGAGCAAAATTAATATGCTAATCTGTGATCAATATTTTAATATTTTACTTCAAGGTGAAAAGTAAAAAAGTTCCAGATAAGCCTGAATTATCTCTAGGGATCTCTGCTATTTCTCCTCTGCCTGAAAGGTAAATACTTTTGCAGCATTATTAAAATTGCTTTTAATTGTCTTTTCTGCTATTAAATAAGACTATTTCCCTCTCTTCTACATAGTACCTTAAAAAATGGATGGGGGGGTTTGGAGCAGCAGAGGTCAAAGAGCTGGTGTGGGAAGGTAATCAAGCCAGCAACTATGTGGAATCATAGGTGGGAGGAAGAAAAATAGCCGCTTGGTTCAGCAGGAGGTTAAACTCTGTGGGAAACTGCAGTGGATGTTAATGCTGGGTTTTGGGTAAGCATTAACTCCCTTGCATTAACTCTCTTCAGAACAGGAATGTACAGCCATAATGGATTAACTGGTGGCAGCACAGCAGAGGAGCCTGCTGCGCTGCCAGGAGGAGGTCTGATAGTCAGCATGAAGAAGTAATTCTTGGCCTGATCCATCCTAAGTGAGAGAGTTTGAAACCAGGTTTATCTGTAAGCTGAAGCCAGCCAGCCCTTGCTATGACCAAGGGACTAAAAGCAGTATATTCCCTAAGCAAGTATTCCCTGTTCTGCCAGTGTGTTGGAAAAATATTGACCAAAGTCTTAGGTTTGCATTTTTCACAGGATAGGCAGTACTGCCACTTTTAACAATTTTGCTGAGGTCAAGTAGAAGATCCTCTAAGGTGAGGCTAGGAGATTATTAGGGAAAAGTATCACAAATTCTTGCTCTCTTATACTCTTGCTTAGGCATCTGCTTTTGGCCACTCTCAGACATAGGCTAGGTAAACTACATGGATATTTAGTCTGACTCACTACTGCTTTATGACAAGAAAGAGAGGAAATAAGACTGTGATGTGACAAGGACTTTTTTTGTCTTTACTGATTTATATCTAAATAATTAAAACCCTTTACCTGTCTTCTGTCTCCCTCCTCTCAAATAGCTCCCTTACTTTACTGTTTTCTTGGAAAGAGGTATGTGACTGGTAAGATTACTGGTAATCTTACGCTAGTAAGATTATAGTATCACAAATGTCTAGCAAATTGAGCTTGATTCATCTAATCATATGTATATTTTAAAGCTCCAATTAAAAACTGGTGTTAAGAGTCTTCTTTAATTTCTTATTTATCGAAACACCTGAAAATGGTCAGAATGTAAGTGTTAACAGTAGCAACTTTAACTCCTCCTGTAGATTTTTTTTTTTCAAATGAGATACAAATAGACATTTGTGTCCTCAAAAAGAGAAGCACAGCAGAAATAGGAACACGGCTCGTGACACTCCCCGATTGCTATATGAATAAGCAATGAAAAGGAAAACAATTCACTGGATTAAAGAAAAATCCCTTTTGGGGTCTTTTGATACAAAGATGCAAAAGAGAACACAAATCCAGTTTGTCACCAACTTCACTTTTTCATCCTTGAAGTTCATTTTATAAAATCCATGATACTGTGCTTAGAAACAGAAATTACCCAGCAAGTTCATCAAAATTTCACAATGGAATTCTATGGATGCATCAATAACTGAATAACGTAGTGCCTTTGGGCATATAAAACTCACACCAGCACAAAGAACTATTTTTACCATTCTCAGTGCAGATAACTAAGTATCAAATGTCCATATGATGCTCTGGAAAAGATAGAAAAAAAAAAAATCCCTCAAAATAAAAGGAAAAGTCAAGTGATATTCTATAAAACACAGAAGGAATGAGTTCATGAGACCCTCTCCAAAGTGTCGGGTAGACAGAGAAGGAAGGAGCAGTAACAAATGCTTGTGTGTTCCTTCTCCTGCAAAGTCTGAAGCACACAGAAGACAATGGAAAACAATTAATGTTCGCAGCAGCAGCATCTTATTTTCCCTAGAATGAGATGGAAACAGTACCCTTGTGAAAGACAAGCTGTTCCACAAAATACCTGAGGGAACTGAAAGAAATGTAAAGGCTGGATCTGGGGGGAGCGGGGGAAGTGGTCCTTGCAGGGTCAGGCCCTAAACTCGAAAGTATGTGTGTATGATAGAACTAAACAGCTCTTTGACAACATTTCTTTTCCCTTTCTGCTTGCTTTTACTGGGGAAAACAAAAATATGTATACATATGTTGAGGAACAAGGTATCCAAGAAAAGTAGCTTACACTCTTGTTTTTCTCTGGTTTGTGGGTGTGACTACATCAAAGGTCACAACAAGCTGAATTGGTTGACTCTTCAGTTTACAATTTTGATCTTTCAGGGAGAATCTGGAGACTATTTTCCAGGACATGAAAGAAGAGTGTCATCGAATACGTATGCTAGCCAGAGAACAAACAGACCAACTGAGTAAATTTAAGATAAAGCCAGAACCTGAAACTGGTAATATCATACTTAAGCTCTTATTGTGATTCAACTGTTTGAAAGCTTTGCTTTATATTTGAAAATACTGTAAATTACACATACATAGAAGTACTTCCACTGTTTACCATCTGCCTTTTTCAAGTCTGTTCACATGGTGCTCAGTATTTCACCAAGAAAACACACCGCCAGTTTTGGCATTCTATGACGAATGCTCCAAATCACATGCTATAAAAGACAGTCATCACATCAATGGCTCTTGTAATTGTTTTGTCCCTTGGAGTGAGAGGCAGGCACTTACTACATGTGATATCCCATCATACTGTGTGAATGACAGCACTTGCTTGCTTTTAATTTAGCTGTCAGTTCAAAAGATGTCTGTTATGAATGTCTCTAGCCCCATATCTGTTAGAGGAAAACTGCCGGACTGAGGAGAGTCAGAGGACTTATTTTCTAGACTTCCTTGTGCAGACTTTTGAATACTGTCTTGTTACATGGGACCAGAGCTTAATCCAACACTTCCTGGAAACGAAAGAAAGGCTTGATTTTTGTTGCAACTGGAAGAGATCCTGAATGTGCGGTTCTGCTGATGCTTACCTTTAATATAATATAAGCTACTGTGGGTATTCCCTGCTAGGATCAGACTCTTAAGTGATTTCAAAAAACACCTGTCAAACTTACACAGTTGAAGCAAAAGATGCTGATTTCAGCACTTGCTTCTAATTTAGGTTATACCGTTAGTGAAGTTTTGTTACATGAAGTGCTAATGTGTAGCTTGTGGCCTCAAATTGCTGTGTCTAAACTGTATAGTTGTATTCTGAGTGTACACTACTGAACTTTATTATTTGGGGGTGGGAATTTGGGGGGATGAGTGCTTGGCAACTTCAGAATGGATTTGTTGTCCTTAAATAAGTGCCTAACTCAACTGTGTGAAAAGCTATACGTGATATAGATTTAATCTGCTTGATTTCTGTTATTTCTGTGGCCCACATTACTACAATATCTGAGTGATGTCAGAAGGCTGCTGTACAACAAATGTGTACTGAAGTTATTCTCTCACCTGATTAGGAGTAACCATGTATATTATTACCATTTTTGTTGATAAAGTGCCAGAAATGAAGGGGGAATTCTCAAAAGAAAGGGCAAATATGGTCCCACTTCTGAATAGTTGCTCAGTTTAAATATTTTTCTAATTTGGAAACTAATGGGAGTTTGGTACCTGAATACCTTCTAAAATCGTGCTCATGGCACCTAGCGTGTTCTTGGCACCATGTGAAATGGGTTTGGTTCCAGCTTCTATTTCTGCCAGAACACTTCAGTAAATATATGCAAGTATGTGTTAAGAGTATGGGACAACATAATTTTCAATAAAATGAAAATGTTTATAGCCATAAATCAAAGAGAAATAGAATTATTAGAACAGAATTATTTCCTTTTATTTCTGTTCTGATAGTTTTTGTGTCAGAGCTAATGTTTGTGAAAGAGAACTACACCTCAAACTGATTTCAAAGAGAAAAAATAAAGGTTAAAAAGCCAAGAAGGAAGATCAAAAACCTCTCGGGAAAAATACCCCAATACCACACCCTTAATAACTATACTTCAGTGGAGTATTTAATGTTTTCTTCATTCTTTCTTCACAGAAATACAGTTTTCCATGCCGATACAGTGTACTGATAAAACTGATGAACAAGCAGAAGAGCTTTTTAAGCCTCGGGTTATAAAGGATATAAATAGAGGTGCATCATGCATCACATCTATCACACCAAGAGGAGTGGGCCAAGATGAGGACAACAACTCTGTAGAATCACTTTCTAAATTTAATGTCAAGTTTCCACCTACAGACAATGACTCTGCTTTCTTGCAGAGCACTCGGGAAAAACCAACAGTTCCTTGTACTGGTGTAGCTGAAAACATGCTTCAAGATCATCATTTTAACCTGGAGCACAGAGACCGTGCTGTTAACCTCAGTAAATTGGAACCTAACTCATTTGAAGCTCATGGAGTTGATCTCATGACCTCAGCTTTACAAAGCTTAACCACTGTTGACAAAACAAACCCCCCAAATCATGCAAACATGCCCGTAGAAAATACCTGTGACAAAACATGTTTAAAAACAACAGATACTGGTTTCACATTTGTACCTAAGCACACAAACCAGGGTGTACCTGAAGTAATTTTTTCTTTAGAAGCTGCTGGGACAACCGTCAGAGGTCCTCATCAGGTATCTCTCTATAAATACTGTACATTTCAAAAAATGGTAATGATTCAGCCAACCATTTTGCAAAGATCTTTGAGACAAGATGAATATGTTCTATGAGGTATCTCATCAGTCTTTTTTTAAGACAATATCTCTTGTCAGTTCTTCTTCCTGATACTGAAGTATGCGTACAAGGCACTTTTCCAGTGAAAGGGCAGGAATTTAAGCAGATGTAAGCGCTGGATATGCTTGCACAAATTTCAGTTCATTTGGATATTAATTGCTTCTCTATCTATTTCAAAGCTGTCATGAATTGTAAGTTGCCCCCTAGATTGCTTTCTTTCTACCCTTGATCTCAGTTGAATAGGGCACATAATTGTTCTAATAATGTACAGCCGAGAACATGACAAATGGACTAATTAAAAAGCTGAACAGATAAATACTTACTGGGGAAAAATTACCTACTTTTTATCTTGATGTGAGGTATAAACGGCACCCTCTTCCTCCCCTCTAAGAAAACACAAAATTTTTTCTTCATAGTTTAAGCAGTCAAGGAGGAAAGCATATGTATTTTTTCAAATTGAGGGAAGTTCACTAAAATACTTTATTTTAGGTTTATGTAGGTACTTTGGGCTTGAATTTCAGCTGTAGCTACTTGAAGTCCATGGGAGCTTCTGAAAGCAAGGCCCAGTTGCTGTAATGCAGAAAAGCATTTCAGCAGGTTCTGACAATCACACCTCTGAATACTTTGCTGCTTTTGTGTAACATCCTCTCTCAACTGAAATTGCTGGCAAAACTATTGTGGACCTTTATAAACTGATTTTTTTTTACGTTTCTGTGCTTTTTCTAATACCTTGTGATAGGACAGCTTTTCAAGAATAAGTAAATAGTGATGTTTAGGAATTCTGTGAGCATGAATTTGGCATATTTTTGCTATTTACATTGATGGGGTTTTGTGTTCTTTGCTAATGACAAGGTACATGCAGCAGAAGAGCTTTACCTCTCAATTTGGCCACATGCAAAACTAGCATTTGGAAAACGTTCGTAGGACATGATAGCTTTGATGTTTTATTCTCCTAAAATGTACCCAGTCTAGTTTAATTTTCTATTGCAAACCAGTTTTGGATGAAAAGTTTAAAGCATGGAAAGTTTGCTGTTCTTCATCATTGTATTTTAAACTACAAGCCTGATTTTTCAAAATGTATTTTAAATATCTATTTGTAATGTAGGAGATCTCAATTCTATACCAACTTACTAATCACAGTTTTTATTGTGCTTTATTTTTCATTGGATCCTCAGTTAAAGTTGTGACTGAGTTAAACAAATTAAACCATTTATTTTATCACTGGTAGAATTCCTGTGGAGCTGTGAAGCATTCACTCCATTGCTTGTTACTATCCTCTTTTTCTGTATTCCCTCTCCAGCTTGTTCTTTTACTAGTTAGCGTGTGTATTCATTTTTCAATAGATGGCACCCTGCATTGTACATTACAGCAAATGAAACAGCTGGTATGTGATTATAAATTGATAGGGGAGTGTGCAGCTTAAAAAGTAGAGAAGAATTGCGATTGAATAGCAGTAAGCCTTTGGTTTGATCATTGGTATTTCTGCAAAATAACAAAATTAATTTGGAGGCATCATTTAAAATGTAAATTATCTACTTTGTGCAGAAAATGTAATAATGCTAACACTTGGAGAAAAGAAAGGCGATGGTGAACTGTTTCAGTATTTGTAAGTCATATCTGCAATAGCACTGTAGAATATACAGGACATTGATTAAAATTTTATTATCTTATCCAGAAGCTTGTTTGGAACAAGCCAATATTACTTTAGAATCTATTAAACATACATCTGTATATATCAATGTATTTAAACATCCATCACCTTTATTCAGCTGCCTTCAAAAGAGGTTTTTACCCTCTTTTGAACCAAGTTAATTGGACTCGGCATCAGAGCTTTTTCTGACTGTTAATTGTGCTAAAGATTTGATTTACAGATAATATATATGTAGATTAAAATAACTAATGTTTTTTAAAAGTTACTTGTGTACATGCCCTTTCGACTGTATTAACCTTAGCAAAAATTATGCATAAACTTGTTCTTAGCATTTTTACCACCTTTCTAAGGGGTAGTTACACTGCTTACGGCTTCCATCATCCCTGCCACTGGTGAAGCTCCAATAGGGAGGAATTATATACCTGATTTTTTTTTCCTAGTGTAGATAAAACTTTCAAGTATTTACTACATATGTTAACTTATAAAATGGAAAACCCCATAAATGCAATAGATTTGGCAACAGTAAGTTCTTGGAACTGCTCTCAGTTGCTGTAATAAATTTAGCTCTTTCCTTCTATGTGGATACTAAATGTGAAAACTCAGTACTGTTTTCTTAGGATGTAACTTTTTAAAAAAACATGTGACTGAAAAGAGCAGCAGATTAAAATAAACATGGATATTAGTGGACCTAGGATTTTACAGACTACATTTAACTGAGACTTGCATATAGATGCATGTGTTTATCGGTATTCACAGTTTGAGGGGGTTGTTTCCACCAAAAATATTTCTAAGAATGTTCATGATTTTAAAAGCAAATCAATAGGCTATTGATCTTAATCTGAATATTAATGTTTTTTAAATGGAACATCTGCTTACATATATCCGTATTCTTAAAAGCATATTAAGCACATGCTTAACGCTCAAAGAAAGAAATGGAAGTTAAGTGCCTGCCTCAGGGGGTTACTGGATGAGTACCTCCCCTTGTTGTGCTTCCAAGATTAGAAATCTTACTATTTCCTTTGTGGGTTTTTTGCAACACTATTTTAGCTTTTTTCAAATGGTGCTTTATATCATAAGATATTAGAAACAAGTAATTCTAAACACATTTCTGTAGGGATGTTTAAGTGTGTCAGTGTCTAGATAGATTTAATATGCAATTTACACCAGCAACATATAATAAGTAGAGTCTTTGAGTTGAAAAAAGTGGTGTGATTGCACTTAATTACTAATTAGTCAATTTAATTATATGGATTGCTGACCATAATGAAAGACAGTAAATCTGCTATTGCTGTCTGATAAGCTAGGCACTGTTTAAATAGGGAATGGACAGGAAATTGACTCCAAGAAGTTTAGCTGGTTTAAAAAGAAGGTTTAATGGCTATAAAAGCCAGGTTAGTTGTAACTAACTAACAGGTGAGTTACCATGGGAGGAATAAACAATAGATTCTAACTATTTGGCATGATGAAATTTGAATAAGAGCTGAAAATTAAAGCTCTTGGGTAAGTACCGATAGCAAGAAATTTAAAACTTCTAAAGAAACTACTTTCTAAAGTATTCTTGCTTGACTTTCAATGTGTGAGTGAAGCAAGAGAGAAGAAAACAGAGCCAAAAAACTGTAGGGTGCTCTCCGCTCCTAGGTTCCATCCCCACATAGAGCTCATACCAGCTTGCTGCCATTCTGTCTACTTTGCAGTCACAGCAGTATGCATTTAGTTTTCAATTTACTCAAAACCTAATCGTCCTGGCCGTGTAACATACGTATGTATTTTATCTTGTGTTGCTAATACTGAAGTAATGAAACTTCATTTTTAACTTTGAGATCTGATAGAAGACTTTTTGATTCCTAGTTGGTATGACGCTAAATAATTAGTGTACACTCTGACTTGAAGTTTGTGTCAGGCTGAAGTCCCTCGAACTCCAGTGTCAGGGAAAGGGACTTGCGGAAAGAGACTTGCTGGCTTTAAACTAACTGGCTCATGGACCAAGAGCAGTACAGCCACTCAACCAAATTTAGCATAGTTTACAGAATTGCCTGAATGCATGGATATCTATCAGATGGTCCCATTGAGTCTGATGCTGTCATGGCAGAAGGAATCCCAAAACAGATTATTTGAGACACTTTTACACTAAAAGGCAGTCAGAGTAAATAAGTAACTTAAGCCATATGACATTGCTCTAGTAATTTTGTACGTAAACTGAAACCTAGTTATGTGTCAATAAGAATAGAAATAAAATATGATTCATACTAACTCTGTAGAAGAAACATTTTATTCTAAGGTAAAAATGTGTTTTCTCCTTTCTGTTAAATGGCTATTACGTACTATGGCTCGTGCAATAAAATACTGAAGTTGAAGAAAAGCCTTAATATGTATCAAGTTGATATTACAGACTTTTGCTCATAGCAGTATTTATCATTAATAGATACCAAGACATTTTAAGTGTTTGCAAGAACAGTATGGTTATAGAACTTCAAAAACTCAAAGTCCTTTCTTGCTTTTCTTAAATGAGAGCTCTCTAGTTAATGTCTCTGGCCAGGCAGGTGTAAAGGACACCTAGTTTAAAGAGGCAGGTATTTTTTAATATAAATATAAACCACAGCATAATGTAAACCACATTGTAAACCACAGCAATAATCATTTTCTGTTTCTTTTAGCTCATTTGGCAGCCTCAAGACAATGATTTGCTGGCACAAGCTTACACAGACTCTGAACTGAATCAGTGTGGAATATGTGAATTCTGTCGAGAAGTTTTCCCACCATCTATAACATCTAAGGAAGATTTTCTTCGGCATCTGAATTCCCACTTTAAAGTACAGTCTTAATGTATGAGAATTCAATGGATTGCTGTTTTTGCATACATTTGATTTTTTTATTCAATAGATATGCTAAGAATTTAAGAATTAAGACTTCTTGTAACAAGAACTCATGAGTGAAATTGTTTGTCAGATAAGCACATTTTTAATTGTCCTTTGACAAGTTAAAATGAAACTGTAAGTCGCTCAGTACTGCAATTCACATTATTGCTTGTTATGCTTCAATATTACCTTTGAGAGTGATGTTAAACACCTTTCTTCTTCTTCTTTTTTTTTTTTTCAATTAATCCTTGCCTGAATAGGCCCAAAGTCATGATTATATTTATGAGTGTAGACTTGCAGGATTAACGCCTTAATCTGGCTGGGGAAATTGGTGTAATGCTAGGACTTTTTTTCTCAACACCCAGTGATGTGATTATGTTCTCCTTGAAGTAAACAGGAAGAAAAGTAGGTTCTCATTTTAATTTCTGTTATAGAATTTCCAAATTTAACTTACAATAGCGAACCTCTTAATTCAGATTCTTGGAAAATCATCACAGTAACTGAATGCCAGATGTGCCAAAATTAGGATAGCCTTGTTCACTAGTAACATAAATGAAGGGTTGACTTTCCCGGATTAATTGTTTACTAGAGAGAGTAATCAACCACAGCACATAAATGACCCTTTTGTCAAAATGTAACGGTAGCAGTTTTACGGCTGTTACATGTGATAAAAAAATAATGATTTTTTTCATGTACCTTTCTAGCATTAATAATTAGTAAAAATACTTTCATGGAAAAGGTTATATCAGTATGAAGGATAGAGTGAGAAAAGGTTAAACTTTCCCTAAAACTAAGAATACCAAAGATATGTCGCATTCCTTCTGGTCTGCTATGAAGGATTGCTCAAATCCGTTACAGCCTAGAAGGGGGAAACCTAATCACCCAAATCTGTGACTTCATTTTTAACCTGAATATGCTTAGTGGCTTTCTCAATGCAATTTAAATTCGTGCTTAGTTGAAACGTTGCATTCTGATAAAGTTTGCACATTTTCTGGATTTATCGGGATCAAATTAAAAAGGGGGGGGTTTTACTAAGTAATTTAAAGTAATGATAAAGGGTGACTTGGAGCTTCTTGCATTTGAACAAATACAGGTTTTAGTCCTGATATTTGTTAATTAGCATTAATATTTTCATAGCAGCAAAGCACACCAGTGTCTCTTTTTAAAGATTTGTTCGCGGGTGACCAATTTCTGGAAGAACTAACACCTGCTTAATTTTTGGAAATGGATTTTTCTGCAATTATTTTCTCTATTTTAAACATCTCACGTTTGTGACTGGCTGTCAACAGAGTGTACTGTAATAAACAGCAGTGCACAGTGCACGCCTGCCACATGACCTGGAGAAAGAGT